CGCATCCACCCGCAGGCCGTGGTCCGTATGTGCAGGTACGGACCAGTGGGGGAGGCACCAGTTTAGACACTCTGGGCTTCCTGATGCTGGAGAAAAGTCCACTTGGGCAGAGCCTGAGCCCTGAAGGAGAGCATGACTCCAGCCGGCACACTGCCCGGCGCTTCTGGGAAGCGAGCAGGCGCACGGGCACCTCTTGTCGCTTGGCTGACTCACGGGGACTTCCAGAGCCTTCGCAGCTTGACCGCGCGTCTGACAACGGAAATACAAGGCCAAGCGCTTGGGATTGCTCAACTCCGAGAGCCTGGTAGGAGCTTCCTGGGGGCCGTGCACAGGCCGGCACTGGAGGAGGCATGGGTCGAAGGGTGAGATGCTGGAAAGCCCCTGACACACCAGCTGGTTTCCAGTTAAACACAGTCAGACGGCGAGGGACTTGTCTTAGTTGTATCCATGTGCCTAACATTTGGTTTTGTGGCACAAAGCCCCGCTGGAAGTCAGTCACCAGTGGCGCATCCGGCGGGTCAGTGCTGGGGACGGTGCTGTTTAACATCTTCATTAATGGCCTGGACAGTGGGACAGAGTGCACCCTCGGCAAGTTTGCGGCTGATGCAAAGCTGGGAGGAGTGGCTGATAACACCAGAGGGTCATGCTGCCCTCCTGAGGGTCCTGGACAGGCTGGAGAGATGGGCTGAGAGGAACCTTGTGCAGCTCAGCAAGGAGAAGTGCCGAGTCCTGCCCCCGGGGAGGAGCAGCCCCAGGCACCAGGACACGCCAGGGCTGTCCTGGTCAACAACAAGCTGACCATGAGCCAGCAACGTGTCCTTGCGGCAAAGGCGGCCAGTGGTGTCCTGGGCTGCATTAGGAGGCACCGCAGGTCGAGGACAGGGATCCTTCCCCTCTGCTCAGCACTACTGAGGCCACGGCTGCAGTGCCACAGCCCACGTTTTGACTCCCAGCCTGGGCTGGCACGTACGGCCAGACGAGGAGACAAACCCTAGTCCCCCTCAAACAACCTGCCTGTCATTCTCAGGGATCTGTAGACCATGCTCAGGCTCTCCGTCCCACTGCCCAAGGAATAAGCGCCCCTCAGATAAGCCACTTTGTCCTTGTCACTGTCTCCCCATTCAACCCAGACCTTATGCTGACATATTTTAACCCGGATGACGGTGCAGTTGGCTTCATGGCTGATAGCAAGCCTCTACCAGGGCCCCAGCCATCCATGAACCGGAACCAGGCCCTGCCTGCACCGGAGGAAGGAGCGAGCCATGACCAGAAAGCAGTTGGTAGCAAGGGTGAGTCCCAGAGCTCAAGGTGAACTGGACCCAAGGATGGGGCTGGTGTGGGGGCACACTTGGAGGGCAGCAGGCACTGGGATGCTCTTGAAGAGGTGAAGGGCTGCATCCAGGAGAAGGAGTGCTGTGGGTTAGGTGGCCCCAGGGGAGCATGGAGAGAAGCAGGTGACGGTGCTGTGTCCCCGCTCCTTCTGACCTATCTTTCCTTGGCTCCTGCTCCCAGGCTGGACCCATAGCCCCTGCATGCTCATGGCATTTCTTTTTTTTTTTTTTTTTCAGGAAATAAAAGTACACCCCAGGAGGATGTCCCCGACCGCTTGGTGAGTGGGGGCTGCTTCTCTGGCCACGGGGAGTGTGGCCCAGGGAGACGCCATGGGGCAGGGGACTCCCGTGGGCCAGCTCCCCACGAGGTCCCAGCAAACCCCATCCCTCTTGTCCAGTAAATGGGGACCGAGGCAGTCCCACTCGGGTGCCAACACTGCTTCCCTCCCTGGTCTGGCAGTGAGGGGAAGGGGTTTGGGGGCTGGTTTTGCCAGATGGGCACCTCAGATGTGTGATGGGACTGCTGTGCCACAGCAGGTGGAAGACCTTGATGCAGTCCTCTGGAAGATGGTGGCAGTGGGTGAGCTCCAGAGCCAGGGATTTCCCCAGACAGACCAGGCCCCTCAGCAACCCAGCAAGAGAGGTGAGCGCCCAGCTCTCAACAGGTCCTGGGGCCTGACCCACCACCGACCTGCAAAGACAGCATGGCAAGCAGGGGCTAGGCTTGGGGTGGAGGATCTCATGACTTGGGGTGAAGAGTGCCCGCAGTTTGGGGTAGAGACTGCCCACGGTGTGGACTAAGGCATCCGGCTCTCAGCTGTGCTCCTAGAACTGACTTCAAAGCTGAAGGAGACCCTGGGAGAAGACATGGACGTCTCCCTTCCTTTAAACTTTTCAGCCATGGCCAAGCACTGCTGCAGCCCCTTGCATGGGTGTCTTTTCCTTTTTCTCCCAGCTTGCTTCTGGAAATACCGCGCCACCAAATGAGGGGTGCAGGAGGAGCCCTGCCTGCGCCTGCCTGCCAGCCCGCTCCCCGCCACCCCCACCCCAGTGCCTTCCCGCAGGCCCATCCACGCGTGACCCCACGCCTCGCTGCGGGCTGGTTTGCGCGGAGCTTTGGAAGGTCTCCAGTCCCTTGTGGGGAAAAGGGGAGAGGGTCTGCAGCAGAGGAGGGGTGTCGTGGGGCAGGGGGAGAGGATCTGGGGTGCAGGACATGTTTCTCCCACACCAGGGGACCTCCAGCATCCGTGCAAGGCAGAGCTGCCACCATGGCCTGGCAGGGACGTGCTGGCTGCCGGCAAGAACTGAATAAGCCCCCTCACCGGAGGAGCGTCCTGCGGTTACTCCATCCCTGCACCGTGCAGGGTCCTGCATCCTCCCGCTGCCGCGTGCATGAGCCCCAGGGAGGGGACATCTCTCCTGCGGGCAGGGCAGGAGCTGCCACGTGCATCCCAGTGACCCAGGGCGGCAGAGACTGGGGGCTACAGCCTCACATGCTCAGTCTCAAAAGGGTTTCCACCGCGGGGAAGCCCGCTCCACCTCACTGCGTGCCCGGCGGCCTTGGCCTGTGCGCTGACAGAACACAAGCAAGGCATATTAAAATATAGTTTATTGCTGTTCTTAGTTTAAAAAACCCAAACAAACCAAAACCCATTCATAACAAAACCAGTCCCCAAACCCAGTGCTATCGGAGGCAGGCTTGCAAGGACACACTTTTTAGTGCAAAGAGGGAAGTGGCAGTGGGGGCTGGAGGGCGGTCTGCCGTCGCCGTGTCCCCACAGCACCCACCACGCTCACTCTACAGTATTTTTTTGCCCGCGGGGCTGGCTGGGGAGGGATGTCTGAATTCGCAGGCCCTGGCACCCTTGGGGTGGCTGGAGGTATGGGATGGGGGAGGATGGGATGTCATGGCTGCGCAGAGCAGCTTTGACTTCTTTCGCATCAGCGACACTGGATGGGAGGGCACAACGCTGAGCCAGGCAGCACCAAACCCGCCCACGTATTGTATCGAGACACAGCACTTTGCAAAGCAGCTTTTGCCTGCTCTCTTACGCTATCCAGTACTGGGGTGTGGAAACCAGATGGATGCCCTACCCCGTGCCCCTGTCTCCCAGTCAGGCACCTGACGTGTTGGTGGGCACCAGGGAGGGGGTGCTGGAGCTGGAGCCGCACATGTCTGCATCTCCTGCAGTGTCCTGCGAGGCAGGGAGAGGTTTCTTAGCTCACAGGAGCCCCATGGGACGTTGCAGCCGGCAGCACATGGCCCTGGGTGCTGGCACACATGGGAGGGTTGCCCTCGCTATCAGCCCTCCATCCTCAGCCCTTCGCGAGTCCCTGCACCCCTCCTGCCCCCCACAGCCGGTCCTGGCGCTTTCCTGCCCGGGGTCTTCCCCGGTATCTTCCTGCCCCCATGTCCTAATGGGGAGTTAGGTGCTCATTACAACTCTCTTGCAGTGAGAACAATTTGTCACTGCAATAAACTACCAGGGGCAGAGCCTTGTGGTGTCTTCAAGTGGAGCCTGGATGCCGTGCTGGAAGGGAGGGCTTGCCCAAACACAGGCTGCGGCATGCTATGCAGAAGGGCAGCCGGGCAAATTCAAACAGCTCCAGCGCAGGTGATGCACTGGGACCCCGGGACACCTCTTCCCGAGCATACGAGACGGCTGGGACCGCACGGGGCTGGCAAAGCAGAGCAGCTCCAGCAGCGGATGGGGGGGGAGGGGGGGGCCCGCCCGTCCGGGG